TCACCAATGATAGTGGTGGGGTAGGGGTGAGGAAACACCTATCAAGTTACCAAGCAGACCAAATACATTTTTTATGGAAAGAGGAGGGGAAAAAATTGTAGTTAAAATGGCCAACAACTTGTTAAATATGATCAAAGACATGAATCTACACATTCAAGAAGCTAGATGAGGCCAGGTATGGTGGCGCATGCCTGTAATCCCAGCATTTAGGAGGCTGAGGCAGGAGGATCATTGCCAGTTAAAGATTAGCCTGGGTTACAAATGAGCTCAAGGTCAGCCTGAACTGCATAGTGAGACCCTGTCTCAAAAAGACAAAACAAAAAACAAAAACAAAAACGAACTCAATGAACTGCAAGCATGATAAACACAAAGCTACCACAACAACAGTGAAATTATCAGAAGACAAAATCTATAAAAGTATGAAAAAAGCAACTTGCCCATAATAAAACTAAGAACTGATTCTCATTAGAAGCTATGGAGACAAAAGACAGTAGATTAACTTTCTTAATGTAATAAAAGGATTGCTAACCAGGAATTCTACATATTCGATGGGCCTAGGTAAACGAAAGATAAGGAAGTCTGTCAGTGGTAGACCTCTCCCACCTGAAATGCTGGAGTCCTTCAGTCGGAAACCAAAAGACACTTGAAAGTAACTAGAAGCCTTGTGAAGAATAAAGAACCGTTTGTCCAGCTGACTACATGGGTAAATATAAATGACAGGACTAGTGAACTCTGGGTTGTAACTCCTCTTTTTTAATATGAACTGCACTCTGTGCATTCCTGGGTCTGTTGGTCTCTTTCTTTAATCTCAAAGCACCTTGTGGTCAGTTCTCAAACACTAGGAGCTGGTTTTTCTAGAGCAATTTTTGCATTGTAAAACTCACTTCTATAGAATGTGACTGCTATATTTGGAAATGAGGTCCTAACAAGGTAATTAAGCTAAGGAAACCACTGCAGTGGCCCTTATGCAATTTGACGGGTGTCCCTAAGAAGAGATGAAGACCCACAGGAAGACACCAGGAAAGTGCAAGCACAGACAGGTAACCACGTGAACAGGCCACGGGAGAGAAGCTGCCCACAGCCCAGCAAGAGAGAGGCCTACGAGGAAATCGAAGCTGCTGACACTTGAGACCTTAGATTTTCAGCCTCCAGAACTGCATCTCAGGTACTTTTCTCCTTGCTGAGACAAAACACCCAGTACCCACAGTTAGAGGGGGAAAGGTTATTTAGCTCACACTTTGTAGAGGTTTCAGTCCATAATCACCTGGCTCCAAGGCAGGGTGGCACGTAGCAAAGAACAACAACAGTTCATGATGGGCAGAGCCACCCAGTATCTGTTACATTACTCTAACAGCTCCAGCAAACCAATAAGAACTTGTGTTCCTTACTTCTGTGTTACATACGTGCTATTACTTAGACAAAAGAATAGCAGACTAGTTAGTGGTGAAATAATACTAATAATACAGTACCAATAAAATCTGATTGAAAAGGAAAAATAATAGGGTAAACTCAATAGATATGTGTCAGAAAATATAGCTATGATTATAAATAATTTTTAAAAAAATAAATACAGAAATTTATCATTTCTTAACTCTTTGGCACTTAAATTTTGTAGACCATGTTGGATATTAAGATATATAAATGATACTTTTTGAAAACAGGTTTTAATCAATATTTGATAAAAATTAACAATAATACAACTATTTTTATTCCATGAAAGAAGATATTTTACCTTATGTTCCCTTTCCATTAATACTTCTCTGAACTAAGGCCATCAGGCCATCCTTCTTCTTCTTCCTTTTTTTTTTTTTTTTTTTTTTTTTAATCATTTTGAGACAGGGTTTCACTATGTATCTCAGACCGGCCTTGAACTCACTTTGCAGCAGGCTAGCCTTGAACTCCCAGCAATCCTGCCTCAGCCTCCCCAGTGCTGGGATTACAGGCATGTGCCACCATGCTCGGCCAGTACCATCCTTCTTTTATGTATGCTAAAACTACAGTAAAAGTAAAAGGACACTGGATGTCATCCTAGTTAAATGTCTTTATCACTGAAATAGTTTTAAACCACAGATGTAGAGAAATTTGTGGTGTCAAAACTGGATTCCAAATAAGCTAAAGTTTTAGTAAAGGACATGAGAGCGCTATCTTCACTTTTTTTGGTGACGTTTTTGCCTCTGGAGCTTTGAAAGTCTTATTACATAAAAATGGACCATTTAGTACAGGTGGTAATCCACGCCTGTAATCCTAGCACTCTGGAGGCTGAGGCAGGAGGACTGCTGTGAGTTGGAGGCCAGCGTGGACTACAAGGTGAATTTAAGGCCAGCCTGAACTGCATACTGAAACCCTTTGTCAAAAAAGCGTTGGGGGGCATTTGTTGTATGAGTTTCTTCTAGTCTCCTTATAACCTCTTCAAATACCCTCAAACACTTTTAGAGAAATGGCACGAAAGGTTTATTGCACTGTACACTCATCCTCACTACATAGCCAGGTTAGAGAAACATCCTTTTTACCCAAAAGTTTGATAATATTTTACTGCAGGGAATCTTTTCTACATCCAACAAGAGCCATTGTTAGGGAACTTATCTCAGGAGACTGTCTTCTATTTCTTTCAAGTTAAAAAAAAATCACATTTTGAAAAAAGTAACTACAGGGCCAGGAATATAGCTCAGAGGCACAAGCACCTGCCTGGCAAGCACAAGGTCCTGAGTTTGATTCCTGGTACCAAAAAAAAAAAAAGTACCTATATATATTTACTATGAAGGCATCAATATCATAATTAAACAATCAAATTCCATTTTAGTCGTGTTGTGTACAATGTTTATAAGGTGTTTACTAGATGACATGTTTTCAATTTTCATTAGCAAGAAATGTAGACAGAAATGGGGTTTGCCAAAATTTGTATTTTGTTTTGTCTGTCAAACATACAAAAGAAGAGAAGGAAAAAATGTAGAGAAAGCTTTTGAAAATAATGAGGGGAGAGATGTTGAAGGGAGGGGAGAAGATTGGGGGGAAAAGAATAATCAAGGTATATTCTGTACAGGTACAAATTCCTTATGATGAATGTGATCAGTATGTGTATCTAACATGTTCCAATAAAATTAGTTAAAAAAACAAAAACATATAGGTAGGTAAGTCTAGAATTTATTCAGAAATAAAACAACAATGTTGTAGATTTATATTTGCCTGTGGTTTCATTAAAAGTCTTCAATCTGACTGACAAATCAAAATACTTAAGAGCTTTGGGAACATATTAAGGTTGATATGACTGGCCACATTACTTGATGTATGTTGGATTGCCAGTAATATCTGACAGAACAAGCTCTACACTGTAAAGGACTGACACATTCATTATCAAAATCTTCCCTTTGGTTCTCTCTTAGGTAATTAGAGTTGAAATTTCAGATTCATAAAATGTAACGTCATTCATTTGCACAGAGCAATCAAGGGCAGCAAACGATGATGTGCGTTCATTTGTGCAGTATCCCTAAGCTAACGCACAGGTCACTATCTTCAATGAACACGAGTGTTTTTCTTTTTCTTGGAAGACTAAGTAACTGCTGACTGAGAATTACTTGCCTATATTGTTATCCATGTCTGCTTTGACATCCCAACACCCAGCATGTCCAGTCCCTATCCTTTTCTGTATGTTGTGCAAGATACAGTTTTGGTTATTTACCTCCAAATCTAGCCGTATGTGTCCTATCATGAAAACGTGATAGTCATTTGCCTTCTGGTTAGGAATACATGAATTATGGTCATGTTCAGACAATCATTTTCATGTTTATTATCTGAACTCAGCACAGTTACAATATTGAGAATGTTAAAAATTGAATTAGCTATATTTCAATATAAAATACACTATTATTTGACAGCCTTTTAATACAAATAAGTATGACATTAACTTTCATACTATATTAGTTTTCTACGGCTGCCTAGACAAATTACTATAAACTCAGTAGCTTAAACAACACAACTTTATTACCTTCTAGAGATAAAGATGACTAATGTACCCGCCTCCTCTTCTTCGCTTTTTGAGACAAGGTCTCATGATATAGCTCAGACTGCCCCGTAACTCGCAGTTATCCTCCTGCTAGCTTTCAAACTGCAGAGGTATACACAGCTTATTCATATCTTCCAATGTTGCAAGTGTAAAAAGAAGACTAACTCTAACCCAACATTAGCTTAGACTACTAACTTGGAAGAGTAAGTTTCAAAATGTGTTCAATTGCCCACTGGAAGATGTAAGTACTGGTGTACAGATTCATACACATATACAAATGAACATACATATGTACGAAAAGATAAACACTGATTTACACATATAAGCTGTACCATTAATCCTGATATGTCAACTTCATTGGATTAAGAAACACCTACCAGGTTAGAAAAGCACATTCCTAGATAGGAAGGTAGCTCAGAGGTAGTGCACAAAGCCCTGGGTTCAATCCCCAGTCCTGTCCCCCCAAAAAAGAATCGTATATTAAGAAATCTGGCACAGTGACAGACACTATAAGCAAAGTTCACTCACAAATGAACAAAAACTTTCAATTTATGAAATAAAAATGAGGAATACCCAGAAAATATGCCGAATTTCTACAACTTAGTAACATGTAAAAAAATGTTAAATAATAGTGGATAGATGTGAGTAATTCAGACAAAATGTAAAGGAATACTATATTCAAAGATGTTTAAGCTTACCAATAATTGAAGAAGTAGCCATTAAAAATTTTTGTTTAGGGGCTGGGGATTTAGCTCAGCGGCAAAGCGCCTGCCTGGCAAGCGCAAGGTCGTGAGTTCGGTTCCCGGTACCGGAGAAAAACCAAAAAAAAAAAAAAAAAATTTTGTTTACTGGATGGGCAGAGACTTAAATTCCCAATCCAAAACAAACAAAACTATTCTATGGCAATCAAATATACAATGGGAACAATTCTACAAAATTACCAGAAGCTTAGAATCATTGGGAAGCTCTTTATTTTTAATTAATGAAATAATTCACCAACCTGAGCCACTTTCATTGAATTCTGGGTAGAGCCACCAGCATGATATTCAACTTTGAATTTTTTCACAAGTTCCTCAAACCTATAAGGAAGTCACAAGAAAGAAAAGTTAGTATGTCAGTTGTCACAATGTAAATGTGTTAGAAGTATAGTTAAACACAAATTGTTGAATTTTCAAATTATATAGTTAGGTAGAATAAATGAATTAAAACACTGGACGACATATTAAATTTCTATACAAAAATTCTATAAATGTGCAACCATAGGAATTCAAAATATACAGTCCAGCTGTAATTAACCTTTTCACTAAACAGAAAATAAAAATAAAATCCCCAAGTTGCCAAATGAAGGTCACATATAGCAACCAGTCAAGATAACGGTCTCAGAATTACTTAACTGCAAACATACAGAAGAATCAGTGTGTCTTTTTCCTCGTGCCTCACAATTAAGTGTTTTCTATAGAAATCAAAATTTTGCTAATTAATGAAGCTCCAGGAGTCAGTTCAAGAGTCACAGAAATTATGACCTTACGACAGAGGATGGATGATGACATATATGTTCATTTCTCCCACATTTTACGCAAGAAAATTAATGATCACTCATCATCTTTCCGCCTCTAACTTGTTTCCATTCTGGACACTTACATATAAATGGAATTACATAATATGTGGTCTTTAGTGATGAGATCCTAGTGTAGTTTTTTCAGGGTTGATACATTAAGTAGCATACACCAGTATGTTATCTCTTTTCATGGTGAAATAACATTTCATTATATGGATATTCCGTATTTGTTAATCCATTCATCTGTCAAAGACTACTAGGGCTACTTCTAACTTTTTCTACTCTGAACAATGCTGCTAAGGGCATTGATGTAAGTTTTTGTCTATACATAATGTTTTCATTTCTCTTGATTACATATGTGGGGAAAAGCTGCTAAGCAAAACGATAAATCCTTGTTTGACTTGTTTGTTTGAGATAGTGTCTCACTATGAAGTTCAGACAGGCCTTGAACACACTACGTAGTCCAGGCTGGCACTGAACTTCCAATGATCCTCCTGCCTCAGCCTCCAGAGTGCAGAGATTACAGGCCTGTGTAGCCACGCCAAGAGTTGTTTGACTTCTGTCAAGGACCTACCCTCTTTTCATCCACAGAAAATACAGAGAACCCTATCTGTCTAATTCTATTAAAAGGAGTAACTAAAAAATAACATTTTCTTTAATTAACTTTACGAATGTTGAAAAAAAATTTAAAATCACTATTAGTTGGATGGACAGCCAATGTAGTGTGTGTATAGATAAAAATTCAGATGAAAGCCGGGAATGGTGGCACACGCCTGTAATCCCAGCACTGGGGAGGCTGAGACAGGAGGATTGCTGCAAGTACAAGGCCAGTCTGGGCTACACCGTGAGTTCAGGGGCAGCCTGAA